TTCCTCCTCATTCTTCCAGGGCTACCTTGAATGTCACCTCCTCAGTGAAGCCTTTGCAAATCCCCTGATACTGCGGTTCTCAAGCTTTACTGGCACCAGAATGCCTTGGAGGGCTGCTTAAAACATAGACTGCTGGTCCCCCTCCCCCTCAAGAGTCTGTTTCAGGAGGTCTGGTGGAGCCGAGAATCTGCATTTTTCCAATAAGTTCCCGGGCGGTGCAGATGCTACGCTTAGAGCACCACTGCCTTATGGAGAAGAAAGCACGCTGTGCCCTTGTAGGCCCCTGCTTCTTCACCATCCTGCACAACCATTTCACACTCCCACGCAAAGCTGTGAGCTCCTCAGGAACAGGGACCAAGGCAGCACTCAGTACATGGTTACTAAACCGATGATGGATGGACGGACGGACGGACGGACAAATGGATTAGACTGAATTCATTTACATAGCTCTTCCTTCCAGGTCCAGGACCTCATAAATGCCCACACCCGCCCCACCCCACCACAAACATGCCTTGAAAACATCATCTATAATTGATTCCCACTGTACAGAGAAGGTAAAAAGAAATTCAAGAAGAGTTTTGACATTGTGAGCCTTTGTCAAAGGAGTTTTGAATTATAATCTAGTGCTCTTTCTGCTACCCTGGTCCCACCGGGGCTGTTGATCAAGGTGGCATTTAAGGAGCCACAATAGAATGCTTCTGAGTGGTGCCCCCAGAGTCCTAACCTGCCCAAGCATTCCCTCCTTTCACAAAGAGAGAGAGGGAGACAGAGAGAGAGATTTCACTTATAGAAAGTAGATGAAGGTGGTAAAAGAAATGGAGGGAGGAAGCAGAATCCAGCCTCACAGAGGAAGGGAAGGCGAGCAGCTCGGGTGGGGAAGACCCCATCAGAAAAGTACTAGCTCCCACGGGGGAGTGCTTGAGCTCCAAGCAGCCCTGGGATGCCTGTGGCTGAGGCAGATAGGCAAAGGCACAAAGGAAAGGGGATAAGCCTACAGGAGGACAAGAAACGAAAGCTCAGGAGAAAATGAGAAACTAGGAGAGGAACAAAGGCCAGAGAACATCAGCTGGGAGGGGGCAGGCGGACAGGAGGAATGCAGGCAGTTGCTGAGCTGGCAGCACAGGGCAGTTTGGGGGCTGGGGGGGAAGGTCAATGCGCTCCACTCTGCCCTTTCAGCAGCAGCAGGCAGAGATGAGCAATGGGCTTTACTGGAGGCACAGTTGGGGGCAGGGGTGGGGGGTGCAGCAAGGGACAGCAGGAGGACCAAAGTCAAAAGGTCTCTATGCTGCAGGTGGTGCCAAAGCAGCTGCCCGAGGCCCTGAAAACTCCTGAGAGTCTGGAGGGCGATTTTTCCGACAGGCCTGTGCTCACAAGCAGCTTGGGTCACACTGCAGCTAAAGAGGGAAAAGTCAGCATTCCCACTCCACAGCCGGCTGTGCAGACCCTTTCCTGAGGGAAGTGCAGATTAGCCTCGTGGATTAAGCTCCCCTGCCTCCCTCCCCCACTCCAGAAGCCCTGCCAAGGGAGGATCACAAAGCTGAGACCTCAGGATGCTGCAGAGCTGTCACATCCGATGCACCACACAGCCCCGGTAGCATTTAGGGGCAGGATCAATGCGAGCCCACCCCCACCCCAAACAGTGGGAGCAGCTAATGACTGGGTATTAATGATGCTGGCAATTAGTGCTCGCAAGAAAATGGTTGGGGGCTGCTCACCAAGGGAATGTGGGCGGGAACAGAGCACACATTCACAGCAGCAAGCAGATGGGTGGCTTGTGTGGTGCAGAGAACCTGGGAAGAGTTGCTGCCTCTTGGATTTGTCCAGAGAAACTGGGGAAGAGGGAGAAGATGGCTGCTGTGGACACTGAAGACCTTCCTGCTGCACCCTCCCCACTAGCAAAACTGAGGTTAATCACAGAGGGGGTGCTGTGAGGAGATGTCATTGAAAAGGTGTGTGTGAGGGTTCTGGAACCTTCCTTATGCGAGGAGGCCCCAGAGGAGTCCAGGTACAGTTATTGTTTTCTATGCAGTTTAAAACCCGTGGGTAGTCAGACGATCCTTTTTTAAGAACCCAATTTCTCATCAGCAGGATAAGAAGGAGAAGAGAGGTAGAGAGGGGGCTGGAGAGAGTGTGCTCACCGACAAACCAACCCACAGAGAGAGGAGAACAGGCAGCAGCATGAGAATTCTTAGGAAGATGTCTCCATCTAGGAGGAGGAAAGACACAGCTTCTTGCCAAGCAAAGCTGTCTGGCCTCAAGGTGAGGACTTGAGGCAGAAGACAGCAACCCATGAGGGCATGTGAGGAGATCCTGAGGGACAGAGATAATGTGCAAGTGCCCATCTCGAAAGTCAACCGCCTGCCAGGAGGGGGGACTGAAGGAAGAACTAAGGAGGAGATGGCGTTGATCCACTTATGCAGCACACCTGAGGGACCACAGGGACCTTCCTCTGCTGTTACCATCACCGTGCACACACACGAAAGAGACACACACAAAAGAAAAGCATTCCAAACCCTAGAGTGCGAGTAGAGCACCGAGGCACAGAACCAAGTGGCCTGACACGTGAGAAGGGATGTCATGGAGATAAGCCAGCACTGGGGGAAGGAGGAACAATGCCAGGCTAAGAAATACTTTAGAGAGAGAAGCCATAGTCAACAAATACTTTCCAGGTAGCAACCCAAATCAAAGGAGATCACTCTCTGTCTCCTCCACGTAGGAGACAATAGCTACGTCTTGGCCACTTAGATCAGAGAAGAGCTAGAGGAGTGACAGGGAAATGCAAATATTTTCCTTTCTGAAAGACAAGGGCGACTGGACCAAGGAAACCTCTCCCCAAAGAGAAGTCAGACCTCAGCTTTGTAGCTACTTGGGAGCTGGCGAGGGGAGGTGGGCAAAGCTGTCGACCCTCCTACCTTGCTTTTCAGGTTCTACCCAGCTGACAACAGTAGGTAAGAAAACAAGTATCTGACACACAAAAGGCCTGGACTCTGAAAGTGAGTAAGAATTAAAGAAGGTGTTATGGACTGAAATATGTCACTGTCATTACCACCACCCCCACACCCCCGCCACCCAATGCCTCCAAATTCATATGTTCAAGCCCTAACCCACAGTGCCTCAGAATGTGACTATATTTAGAGATAAGGCGTTTAAAGAAGTGATTAAAGGGGAAACTTACAGTGAAACTGTTAGGATGGGCCCTGATGCAATCTGACTGGCGTCTTTATAAAAACAGGAAATCTGGACATACAAAGAGACAGCAAGGGTGCACGAGCATAAAGCGACGACCATGTGAAGAGGCAGCAAGAAGCGGTCATCCACAGGCCAAGGAGGGAGGCCTCAGATGAATCCAACCCTGCTGACACATTGATCTGGGACTTCTAGCCTCCAGAACTCTGATAAAATAAATTTCAGTCCTTTAAGCTACTTACTCTGTTGTATGTTGTTATGGCAGCCTGGGCAGACTAACAGAAGGTAACGTGACAAGGGGAAAGAGGGGTGGGAGTTAGGCAAAAACCCACCCCCATCCAAAGAAAGGTCTTGGCCAAGGTGCGTTAATTGTTTCAAATATGTGGTGAATGCAGCCCATCAGCATCAGTTGACTAAGTTGATTGACTGGAACACACAGGAGTCACCCTCAAATCCTCGAGTATGAAATATTTTTAAAGGTCTCATCCTTTTAATTACATTGAATTGTTCATTTCAAGGAAACCTACCACCGGGCCAGCCGAGTGGCACGATGGTTAAGAACTGGCTTGGGATGCCAGAGGGCCCCGGTTCGGATCCCACATATGAGGGCCAGTGACACTGCCCTCTACAGCTAAGATGCTGAACAACAGCTCAACCTGGAGTTGGGCTGCCGTGAGTCGCCAGCAATGGCGTGGGCTGCAGCCCCTGCTACAGTGGGTTGCCATGGGCTACCGTGTGTAGCCAGCAGCCAGCGTGAGCGGCCGTCCAGAAGCCGGCGACTGATCTGCCTCACCCGGGAAGAGCGTAATGATGGTGCCAACTTAGGCCAGTGAAGCAACAGCCTCCACACTAGACTGAATAACAAAAGGACAGCAACTTGTCTGTTCCCCTTCCCCCAATTCCCCAGCACTGTTCCCATCCCCACAATTCCCCAATTAAAAAAAAAAATCTTTAAAAAAAAAAGAAAAGAAAACCTACCACCAAATCTTATGAACAAAATAGAAAACACACAGCATGTCCACAATTACTGCTTACCTAATAATCTTAGAACACACTACATCTTGAAGCAAGTCCTAAAGTTTCTATCATCCCACCCCATTTTGAAGTTACCGTAGGCCCAGAAACCATAAGGAATGTTATAGAGGAAGTCCAGGGGTGAATGCTAAGTCTTTTTTGACTCCCTAATTCATAACTGGAAGGAAAGAAAGAATAGAAATGGAAAAACAAATCTTCAGGATCATTTTGGGTCTTCGAGCCCAGCATCCCAAATATCAGATGAACCCGATCATGTTTGCTGACTGAGTGCTCAAGCAAAGAGCATGGAGGCTCTCGGGCAGTATTTCTAAGACAGGAGAGCCCTGTATCAAAATTGTGACCTCCCCTAACAGCCAAGACAATCAATCAAGAATATTCTACATCTCTTGGTGGCCAAGGAGACATCTAGAAAGTCTGTATGAATTGACATGCTCAGGTGATACAGGTCAGCAGTTGTGAATGGATCTTCTGGAGCTGAGAGAAAGAGGAACAGGTCTGGCATTTGACAACGGCCAGGTGAGGGCGTTTCCCTTCGGCCTTAGCACTCACCTTCCATCCTGAGAGCAGAGCTCGGTGTGCCACCCTTGCCCAGCTCACTCTAAGCCTGGGGCTCAGAGGACCCATGGGGGCAGCTGGCACTTGGTTGAACGAGCCAACTCACCACAGGACACTGAGACCAATCAAAGGTCACCACCAAAAGATGCCACAGGTGACAAAAGGAATGGTCAGCGGCCCTGCCCACCCACTTCATCACTGTCCCAATCCAGGTGGGAACTCACGTCTGTGGTTCTCGTTTCTGTGGTTGGGTGGGGACCGGGTCTCCTGGTCTTGGGCTTCATCCCCCTCCTCACTGGCCAGGTGAGTGTGAGCGTAGTGGTAGCTGAGTCCTGGCCGGTTCTTGTAGCGCTTGCCGCAAACTAGAGAGGAGAAGAGGAAAAAGAAGGGATTATGCAAATGTCAGCAACCTCTGTGGCCACTGCCATCATTCTCCTAGGTAATGACTCCCATCCATCCATCCCAGAGCTGGGTTTCCTTTAAAAACTGTCCCCCCCCCCCCAACACCCCTTACCCCTGGAAAGAATCAACACCACTATCACATCATGGGTCCAGGTAAAGAAAAACCATCACAGTAGAGGATGGAAGTTGCGTCAGAGCTCCATCATTTCCTAGCTGTGAGACCCTAGGCAAGTCATTTACCCTCTCTGTGCCTCAGTTTCTTCAGAGGGAAAATGGGAATAATAATAGTATCTACCTCATAGGGTGGTTGTGGTGAGTTAACCTCTACGCAAAGCATTAAACAGTGCCGGGCACGTGGTAAGGGTGATGATTATTTTTACTTTGAAGCCTGGACTGGGAGACTATCCAGTCCAACTCCCCATGGCACAGATGAGGCAAGTGGGGCCCAGCAAGGCAAAGTGACTTGCCTGGGAACACACAGCTACTTGTGGCACGGCCACCAGAACCCAGGTCTCCTAGATGCCTACGCAGCACTTCTTCCACCATCCTGTGGCTGACTCTATGAAGTAGGACAGTCTGACAGGGATAATATTGTTTGATGTATCACTCAGTGGTTTGGTGTCAGAAAAACATGTTTGGCCCACTTCCGCCATGGGAACCATGAAGCCAAGATATCCTTGGTAGATGTGGCAACCAAGGGCTGTGCCCTCGATGCCCCGGCAGCCTGATACCCAGTATCTCTGAAAATGTGTCCTCGCAAGCACCCCCTCTGAAATGGACGCTGTGAGTGAAGGGCAGCAAGCAACATACGCATGACCAAGAAGATGGGGAGAGCAGTTCCTCTGGTTGGCTGCTCGGCACCTCAGAAGCAGAAGTCTGGCTAAGTGACTTAATACCAGACCACCGCCCCCAGTCTCCCCCGACAGTATCTCAGCCCCTGGAAGGGTGGCAATGCTGGTAGCAAAAGCCTTAAGAGTCTCCCAGTAAAAATAAATCCTATGCCCACCCTCTCATCCTGTGCCCACCTTTCCCCAGCAGAGGACACCCCACCTGATCTGCTGAAACATCTGAGGTTACGAGCTTTAAGAGACTCACTTTTCACATGACTGGGTTATGCAGTGAATGTAAATATTTCATAAGGTACAAAGAGCACAGACTTCATGGTCAGACCCGGGTTCAAATCCTAGTTCCAGGCGCCAAAGTTAACTGGCTATGTGAACTCCATGGTATAGAGAAGGGCTATTTTCCGGAAATCTTGCCCAATGTTTTTATTATTTGTGGTAAAGTTTCTTTTCTTACTAGATTCGCTTAGTTTTTTTCGGCATTACAACCATTGGCAAAAATAGACAGTCATCTCCTCTTTCTCAAATTTGCACAAACTATTTTATCTTCTTAGCTTAGTTTGTAAAAATCGCCAAGGCAAAATTTTTTAAATGGCAAAAGCAAGATTTTCCTTTTTTAATGAGGTTGGATTTCGTGTTTCATTCATTAGAATGAAATATGTGGCTAATGTTTAGTCTTTATCTTTAAGTAGTTCCTCTTATTCCTATTTTAGAGTTTTATTACAGAATTTTATTGGCCGCCCGTTCAGCATCTACTAATATATGACTCTTCTTTAGTTTGTTGATGCTGAATTATGCTGATTTCCTAATGTTTCCTATTATTGAACCATTCTTGATTCCTAGAATATACTTTCTTTTGTCAGAGTGTATTATTATCCATTTGATACACTGTTGCATTCTATTCACTAATACTGCATTTTGCAGCTATATCAGACTTGAGATAGACCTATAATTTTTTACCTCTCTTTTATCACATTTTGATTTTATGGTTATGTTGACTTCCAAAAATGAGTTGAGTTTTGCTGTGTGAAATTGGACAAGACACATAACCTCTCTGTGCCTTCTTTCTTATCTGAAAATGATGATAGCACTACTTACCTTGAAGGATGGTTAAAGGGGTTATAAATAATATTTGTAAGCTATCTCACTCAGTACCCAATACATAAAAGATGCTTAATAGCCGACAGTGAGGGGCGAGGGGGTTCAGCTTGGTCTGCTGGGCCTTTAGCATTGAATGCTTCTGAAAGAGGGACTTTCTACGGGATCTGGTTGGACTTTCATGATAAGAGGAGAGTCTGAAATTCAAATTGATGACCTAGTGACTATAAAAATTCAAGTCTCACAATTGGCTACTTATGTTCTCTCTCTCTCTCTCTCTCTCTCTCTCTCTCTCTCTCTCTCCCTCCCTCACTCCCTCCTTCCCTCCCTCCTTACCCCTCCCTCCCTCTGTTGTAAATATTGCAAAAAAGTTAAATGGTACTCCACATCTCAATGCCATTTGACTCATGAAGTGAGACCTAAAGAGGCCCTTGAGGCGCACTCTGGGCCTGCTTGTGGCTTCTTCTATGTAACCTTTTAAATGATATGAGGTCAATAAACAGCAAATTATGGGGTCATTAGATATGACCCCATTTCATCACCAAGTATACTCTTGGTAAGGAATAAGTGTTTATTAAAAACAAAAATGATAATATCAGCATTTACATGAGGCCACCTTGGCTGCTTCCGCAGATCTCCCCACCATAATCTCCACCACAGCATTTCATGTGTGCCATTTTGTTATGTCGATCACCACTGTCTTCCTTAATCACAGAATTTTAATAGTGATTTGGTCTAACTATCAAACTGTTCTATTCCCACGAATACTTTAGAAGCCTGTCCTAGGACAACTCCACTGATGGCGAACTCACTACCCATCCAAACAGGCATTTCTTCTTTGGACTCCTTGAATTAGTTATGTCTGTAGTAGAGGACCTCTCTTAAGACACTTTCATATCGATTTCATCTTGATATCAACAACTCCACCTCATATGTTGCCATGTGCACACTATACATTCAAAACATATTCACTGGGCTGGCCGAGTGGCGCGTTGGTTAAGAGTTGGCTTGGGACGCCAGCTCTGAGCAGCAGGGCCCCAGTTCAGATCCCACATGGAGGGCCAGTGACGCTGCGCCCTCTACAGCTAAGATGGTGAACAACAGCTCGACCTGGAGCCGGGCTGCTGTGAGTCACCGGCGATGGCGTAGGCTACAGTGGGGCTGCAGTGGGCTGACATGGGCTACTGTGAATGGCTGCCAGCCAGTATGAATGGCCACCATGAGCCGCCGTGAGCGGCCGTCCAATGGCCGGCAGGCAATTGCCTCACCCTGGAAGAGCAATGATAATACCAACATGGGCCAATGAAGCGACGTCCTCCACAACTAAACTGAAGAACAAAAGGACAGCAACTTGTCTGTTCCCCTTCCCCAATTCCCCAACACTGTTCCCCTCCCTCAATTCCCCAATAAATTCTTTAAAATATATATATATATATATACATATATATATATATGTATGTGTATATATATATATATATATATATTCATTGACTAGCTGATGAATGAACACAGAAACACTTTGTGGAAATGCCTACAGATGGGGGGAGGAGGTAAATATATAGAATCTGATCCATCTATCCACATTAATCTCATACTAATAGTCCTTAAAACCTACAAAACCAAACTCAAGCGAAAAAGCTTCCCATATCTCCTTGCCCAACACCATAGAGAATAATTATTTTTAGAGCAAAGTCTTTTGCTAAAACAGAGATTCCCAAAGAGTGATTCCCAGACCAGCACCAACAGCATCACCTGGGAACTTGTAAGAGATGTAAATTCTTAGGCTCCATCCCAGACCTACTGAATCAGGACCTCTGGGGTGGAGCCCAGCAATCTGTGTTTCCAGGTGATTCTGATGCATGCTCGTTTAAAAAACACTATGCTAACAAGGTTTCCAGTTCAACTCACTCATGAGCTAGTGGGCTATGCCCACCCGCAACTAAGATTGAACACGGCACCTTGAGCTGAGCAGCCGCGAGCTGCCAATGGGCGGCCAGATGGCGACTGGACTCGGAGCTGAGCTAACTGCACCCTCCACAATTAAGATTGAAGGACAACAACTTGGCTGTTCCCTTCCCCAATTCCCCCAATAAAATCTAAAAACAAAACAAAACAAAACAAAACAAAAAACCACTATGCTAGAAGATTGATATATTTAAGCTGGACGTTGCCTGCCTTGGGGGCACCTGCCCTTTGGATGGATGGCAGTGGCAGGCAAGGGCAGTGAGAGGCAGCCCTGAGACCTGTGTTCAGCTATTAGAAGAAAGAGCCAGGCAGCACATGAAGGTCCTGGAAGCCAGACCCCTTTACCACGGGCCCTATATGCAGAGCTCTCCAGATGAAACTTCATTTTTCCTCCACCTGCTTATACCAAGTCATTCCTTCATCACTAGGTCTTCAAGAAAAACACTTATTAACTACCTAATCTGTGCCCAGCCTGTGGCACCAGAAGAAAGATAAATGAGTCCTATTCCCCTCCCTCAAGGGGTTCACAGTCTAGCAGAGGAGGAGTACATGTCAACAAGCAAGAAGGGAGGCGGGATAAATGCACCAGTGTGAGCATGGGCCCTGCACAAAGGGGCCAGCACACGGTGGGGACGGCTTCCAGGAGGAGGTGGGATGAGCTGTGGCTTGTGAGATGAGCAGGATATCACCAGGCAGACAGAAGAGCACATTCCACCCAGCACCTTTGGGGAACTACAGGAAATTCAGTAGCGCTGGTGTGAAGGAGGCATGGGGCTGGTGTGAAGGAGGCATGGGGCTGGGCGTGAGGAGGGCCCACAAGAGAGGAGACTGGGCGGAACTTTATCTTGACAATGGGGAGTCAGGGGAGGATTGTACCCTGAGGACCAACTTAATCAGATTTACGTGTTAGGAACCCCACTTAAGACTCGAGTGCACAAGATGGATTGGAAGGTGGCAAGAGGCTATGTCACTTTTCCACGTGGGAAACACTGAGGGCTTTCTGGGTGGGAGAGGAGTTAGAGAGAGTCTGGTAGAAAGGAGTCAGTGTAAGCAGC